GGCTGGAGTGCAATGGTGCAATCTTGGCTCACTGCAAACTCCGCCTCCCAGGTTCAAGCAATTCTCCTGCCTCAGCCTCCCAAGTAGCTGGGATTACAGATGTGTGCCACCATGCCCAGCTAATTTTTGTATTTTTAGTAGAGACGGGGTTTCACCATGTTGGTCAGGCTGGTCTTCAACTCCTGACCTCAGGTGATCAGCCCGCCTCAGCCTCCCAAAGTGCTGGGATTACAGGCTTGAGCCACCATGCCCAGCCATAAATCAAAATATTGTGGCCACACTGAACCACACTCATGTCAGGCTGAAGTTGAGCGTGGCTGCTCCCTGTAGATGGGACACCCACTCTCTTATTGTGAATCCTTACACACAAACCATTTCACTGACTCATCATTTTAGACATTCAGAGTGTGTAACCCCTGAGTTAAAGAGGGAAAAAGGAATGCGATGTAAATACAAGTGGAAAAAATACAAATCATCAGTCCCTAAATGGTACAAATGAAAGAAACAGATTCAAGATAAATTCATGGTCAATAAATCCAAAATCCTTTTTAAAGAGATGCTTGGGGTACGTTCTTAACATTTTTGAGACTGGCATCACAAAGGGCAACCTTTTTGGTTGTCAAAAGCCAAATCCTAGGCTAGGCCAATAAATCTCACATAATGGGGCAATGTGTATACATTACGCAATAGATGTGCTTGTGAAATAAAGAAAACAGATTTTCTTCTCCCATCCCCTCCAGCATTAAGGTGTTACTGACAGAAAAATTGTATATATTTACACTGTACAACATGACGTTTTGATACATGTATACATAGCAAAATGATGAAATCAAGTTAATTAACATATCCATCACCTCACATACTAATCATTTAAAACAGAGTTTTCTTTTAGGTCAATTGAGTCACATATAAAATTGGTAGCTCACTGTGAAGGGAATCCTGTGACACAATATGTTTTTATAGGGGACTTCCTTCAGCTAAAAACTAATTTTTCTTTGTTAAACATGGATTTTCTCATTTTGGATTTGAGAATTACTCCTCTTTCTCCCAAGTGGACTCATAAAATGTCTGGGCCAATTTAGTCTAACAGTTTCGATCTATTTTTATAATCCAAATCTATAAACTCACAAAATAAAGTTATCTTACCAAGGAACAACTTCTGGGCTGGAAGAAAAATAGCCACTATGATATAGGGAAGCTAGATTTGATCTCAGACAATGGAATACTCTATTCTAGAGAATAATATATTGAAATACCTGAAAAATAATGAGACAAACTGATATCAGGTGCTTCTTGGCAAGATGCAATGAGGACACAGGATCTCTTTTTTTTGAGATAGCGTCTCACTCTGCTGCCCAGGCTGGAGTGCAGTGGCACAATCTTGGCTCACTGCAACCTCCACTTCCCAGGCTCAGGCTCCTGAGTAGCTGGGACTATGGCACATGCCAACATGCCTGGCTAAATTTTTTATTTTTTTGTAGAGACAGGGTCTCGCCATGTTGGTCAGACTGGTCTCGAACTCCTGACCTCAAGTTATCTACCCCACTTGGCCTCCCAAAGTGTTGGGATTATAGGCCTGAGCCACTGCACAATTACTGCCAAACTGGCCTTCTGGAGGCCAGTCCATAGGGTGGGGAGAAGGGTCTTTAGAAGGCGTTCCCAAAATCAGAGTTCCTGAAATGTCTTTTAGACTTCCTATTAGTTTTATATTTTCTGGCTGGGTGAGGTGGCTCCTGTCTAGAGTCCCAACACTTTGGGAGGCGGAGGTGGGAGAACTGCTTGAGGCCAGGAGTTTGAGACCAGCCTGGGAAACATAGTGAGACCCTGTCTCTACAAAAAATACAAAAATTAGCTCTACAAACAAACAAATTAGCTAGGCATGGTGGTGCATGCCTGCAGTCCAACCCAGCACTTTGGGAGCATGAGGTGGGAGGACCACTTGAGGCCAGGAGTTCAAGACCAGCCTGGGTAACAATGCAAGCCCTCACTTCTACAAAAACA